TAGGAGGGAGATGAGATGACCCCTCCGCCGGCTCCATCAGATCTCTGTACACTGCTCATCACCCCTTCCATAAACCAAAGGTTATCACCCACCCAAAACTGAGGCTTTTAATTAAAAGACCTTTCTGGAGCCTGCAGAGCCTGGCATTGCAGAGGCGATGGATGCCAAGTCTCTGCCTCTCCTCGGGACAGAGGTGGCCCCAACCTCCACAGCACTTGCAGGGTGGGCATCAAGTATTACATCATTTTACAGAAAAGGAAGAAAACAAGTGGTTTGTGCATCAGCGCAGCTTTTCCAGTATTTCTGCTCATTTTTGTACTCTCCTGTATGACCAAGATGCCTTATTTTTTCATTTGCAGTCATGCACCCAGTGGCAACCAAGCCTCCTCCCTGTCCTGCAGCCTCTTGACTCCATCACAACTCCACCACACTGCCCTGATGGCTTCTTCTAACGGGCTTTACACCACCTCTGCTAACCCTACAACTCAGAGAGATGCTTGGTGAGCAGCAAAGCAGTCCAGCTCCCCTCCATCAGGTTTTGACCAAAGCAGCACCAAATTAAACCAACCTTGGGTGAGCTCACCTCCACGTGATGGATGGACATCAGCTCCATCTCATGGCACAGAATCACAGAATCTTCTAGGTTGGAAGGGACCTTAAAGATCATCTTGTCCAACCATCAAACCCAACTTTGACAAAAATAGACACCCACACAACAAACAAAAAGCAACACCATCACTAAACCATACCTCCCAGCACTACGTCAACCTGTCTTTTGAACACCTCCAGGGATGGTGCCTCAACCACCTCTCTGGGAAGCCCATTCAATGTCTGGTAACTCTTTCAGTGAAAAAAATTTTCCTAATATCCAGCCTGAATTTTTTCTTAACCCTTTCGGTAACAATTTTTTTCCTAATATCCAGCACAGCAGAGGACCCATGCCAGGAGAAGACCTCCAGCATTCATGTATTGAGCATGGTACCATTCTGAAGGTAAAGGGGAGGGAAGTCCACACGGATGGACCACTGCCCCACGGAGCCCCAGGCAGGATGCTCAGAGAGATCTTCTCCTTGCTGACCTCCAGGAGATGTTGGTGGCCCTTCGTCCTCCTTCCCCAGCAAGTGACCGCGGGCAGGCACGGTTCAGGCCTCCAACACTCCAACCACCCAACTCGAAAAATTTGAAAAAAACTTTTGCGGGACGGACAAAGGCTGAAAAATTAACTGTCTGGCCTCTTCCTCCACTGCGTTTATTGCTGTCTTGGCAGATGAATTTCAGGTTGCTGCCACAGCCGCAAACCGCTTGTTCTGCCAACTGTACATTACTAACATTGGAAGGTGGCCAGACCTAGGAATCTTTTTTCTAAAAGCATTTGCTTCATACTTTAAATAGCAGCCCAGCAGGCAGGGGGATGGGAGGGAGGGCTCAGCCCCTGCGTGCGATCCATCTGCGAGCTTCTGCCGGCTCCTCCACCCCTCCGCGGGTTAAAACTGAGGACGATCCACGTGCAGCGAGGGGAAAGCTGGTGGGATGTGACCTCTAAACCCTCTGGGGATGGCAGCGGGGAGGATGTCCCCCCCCAGGACGTCCCCGCTCCCCTGCCACTGCCACCTGCCCCTTCCCAAACTCCCCGGCTCCACGCCTGGCACATTATTAATTAAATTAATAGCAGGATGTTGGCTGGTTTTTTCATTGAAATCCGCTCTGCTACAAGGTTTAGCATCATTTTCCCCCGTGCTTTAGAGTTTTTCTTATTATTGGGCTGAAGGGTGTCTTCGGCTGGGATTTCCATGATTCTGTGATTTGCTGGGACTTCCTGAGCCCCCAGCAGCAACATCACTGGGAAGTTCCAAAATCAGGTCCCCAGCTGGGTTTCCCGAGGGAGCAGGAGCAGGAGCAGACGTCACCGCTCGCAGCACTTCAGCAACGAACCCACCTCCCCAACAGTTAGCAAATATTAATCAGGTTTATGGCTGAGAAACAGGGGAGGAGGAAGGACACGGGCAGGGAAACACAACGTCTCGCGCCCGATGTAACTACAAGGACAAAAAAAATTGTCCCCAGCCACAAATATTCCGACGTTTTGGCCGTATTTCTCTGACCTCCTCACATAAAATGTTCATACAGTAAACTAAGAACACACACAGGGGAAGTTTCTTTGCTTCCATAACTCGGCGCCGCGCTAGATAAGCCGGCAATACAGAGCAAAGCTCAAGGCATAATATTTTTAAGTAGTGCTTGTCCTAGTTAATGTTCAGCCCCGCTGTGCAATGTCAAGAAAACTAATGAAGAGTGAAGTGGCAGCGAGCAGGAACCCGGGCGGACTCACCCGCTACCAAACTCCTTTCAGAGCCCGGGCACAACGTGAAGGAAATCTAAAAGCAGTTGTCCTGGTTCACCGGGAAGCCCTGGCAACGTGAGGGGAATGCTTTGCCACCACACTTGTCCCAAAATGCGGTGTCTGAAGTAAGAGCGAGGTGGAAGGACTTGTGAGAGGACAAGGGGTGGTGGCTTTAAACCAAAAGAGGGGAAACTCAGACTAGATATAAGGGAGAAGTTTTTCACTGAGGGTGGTAAAACCCTTGGCCCAGGTGGCCCAGAGAGACGGTCGTTGCCCCATCCCTGGAACCATTCCAGGTCAGGTTGGACGGGGCTTCAAGCAACCTGGTCTAGTTGAAGATAGAATCATAGAATGGTTTGGGTTGGAAGGGACCTCAAAGATCATCGAGTTCCAACCCCCCTGCTCTGGGCAGGGACACCTCCCACTAGAGCAGGTTGCTCAAGGCCCCATCCAGTGTCACTGGATGTCCCTGCCCATGGCCACTAGGTGATCTTTGAAGGTCCCTTCCCACCCAAACCATTCTGGGATTCTAAGGAGTGCCTGTACATGTGGATCCACGTCCCAGCCTTGGGGTTTGGGAAAAAGTCAACATCTTTTACCAGGGAACAGGATTCCACTCGCAGCCTAAGGTGGGAGCTTTGGCAAAGGCAACGCTCAACGGATGACACGCTCTCAGCACTGACACTGAGTGGGATTCACCTTGGGCACCAATGACAGACTCTTGGCACCAAGGACAAAGTGTTTGCATGAAGGACAAAGGACTTGAGCCCAGGAGATGGGCAGCCCTTAGCTCCATGATGTGGAGCAAGCCAGAGCCCACCTGCAGCAGCTGCAGGAGGGATGCTGGGGTTGGAAGGACCTGAACGAGTCCCACTCCCTCCTCAGGACACCTCGCCCCTTCTCCTGTGCATTGCTTCAGCCCTTTGGACTTCAACATTTCAGTCTATGAGTTGACACTCTGGGTTAATTTTAACTTTTATATGGTTTCTCAAGCGTCTCTTCTCTATTCACCAGTTACAGAGCCATATTCACGGGCGGGAGGTGGATTAATGCCCCTCTGATCTGGCAGGAGAACAGATCTGACAAGGGTACATGGTTCTTCTCCAGGTCCTGCACAGCGTGTGGCCAAGATACCTGTCCTTCACCTCACCCAGCCATAAAATGGGGTTTCTGCACACAGTTAATAGCACAATTGCTGATAAGCGCTTAATGAGCCCGATCCCAAAAGCTTAACAAGCCCTTCTGATTATTTTAATCTACGGAGTCATTTCAGGATGAATCACAAACACGGAGTAAAGTGCCACCTTGCACCAGAACCAAGGCTGGTGTCTTAAACGAGCCAAGAAACGAGGGCAACGCACACCCTTTGTATTAATGCCTTCATCAAATTGCCAGTGGAATGATTAAGTCACGACTCTTCACGA